AAGGTCTGTGACCTCATTTAAAAAAAAGACAATGAAATATTGAATCCTTCTCGATGGTAAAGGTAAGTGGAAGAGGACCATGTTATAGACTCCTCTGGCATCATGATGTAGCCCTCTGGGGAGTGTAACCTGTTGATTGATGCTTACTCAACCTTTAGGTAGAGTATAGTGCGCAGTAGAAAAGTATGCAGTAAACTAAAGCAATAAAATGGATATATTGTGGAGGTAACTTAGTTCTACCTCATGTCTTTTCAGGAGCAAATAAGACCTCTGCTATCTTACTCTCTGCTTATGAGATTAAGAAGGTACTTTCTTTTCACTAAGTGAAAAATGAACTGTGTTAGTGGTAGAACTCCAGGCCTGTACATCAGTGAATGTAGGCTTCCGTGCTGACCTTTTCCAGCTCAACTTTTTCAAAATCAGCCAATTCAATATGAATATGTTATAATGGTAGAAATGAGGTCTGTAGTAGTATCTTTTATTACAAGCAGTTGGAAACAAGAAATGTAAATTTTGTCAAATACATTTTTCACCTTTTTTTTTCTTTTTCCTAACAACCAAATGGTCTGTCTGTTCTCTTGGTTATGGCAGATGATCCAATATCAGATGTTACTTCTCTTTACAGACCTTTCCACTGTTATACTCCCATTCTTCCTATGACTGTAATCATGCTATTATATACAGCTGTCACAGAAGTGGAAAGAATGTCCCCCATAGCCCTGAAAGCATACACAAGCAAAAACCACCAAACCAACCCAAACTCAAACCTACATCACAAAACCTCCAGAAACTTTCACTGGAAGCAAATATTTTTTTAATTTATTACCTAAACAAGAACAAGCATATTTCTAGGGTTGTAATATGTTCTTGAGAAACATACAAATTTTTTAAATTATGAGGACATTGCCAAAACCGTCTAGAAATAATTTCAGCAATTTTGATTTCTTTTGTTCAGTTTAGCTGACAAATATCTCTCAGAAAGTACCTGTTTGATGATGCTGTTGCCCAGCAAACTACTAGCAACAAATATGAACAGTCAACATAAAAAATCCAAGGAGAAATGCAAGTAATTTAGTGCAACATTTTAACACTTCTAATTCAAATCAGATTAGTAAGGACATTCTTTTGTTTAAAGGAAAATGAAAATGTTCTAGTATGTACTTACATGTCTTGACCTCTAATAATGAAGTATTGGGATTGTCAAAATGGATGCAGTAACTTTATATTTCACATTAAGATAAGGAAAATAAATATACAATCAGAAAAAAAAAGTAATTTTGTGATCAGGAGTAAATGCAACATGTTTGTAATATGAACATGTTTCAAAGAAAGATGTGGAATTTCCCAAGCGCAAGAAAAAAAACCTCCACCAAATAAAAAATATTTCTTTGTTTCTGTCACCAAAGCAACCTGGGGAGCACTTCCCTAAGTGTAGCATTCACAGGAATTGTAAATGAGTAAAAGCCATAACAAATAAGTTTCAATTGAGCAATGCATTTTTAATAGATGTTGTTTAATTTTATAAAAGTGAAATCAAAGGGAAAATAGTTTTGGAAGAATTTAGACTAACAGTCTCATGGATTTGATAACTGTAAATTGAGGGGTTCCGAAATATGAAGATTAAAGAGAAACATAATATACAAAATACTCCAATACAAGTCAATGTCTCCCAATTCACCAAAACTTGCCAACTCAACATTTCAAATTTTCTTAATATTCTAAGAATTATCATTAATACTGTCTGGGTTAATAACTAGAAACTTTATATTACAGAGAATAAGCTTATGAAATAGCAGGAAAACAAATGTGATGTTAGTTAAACAACATACAAAAATATTATGCCCTTAAAATAAGTATCTTGCTATGGGGGAATGTTACTTTTGTGTTTATTGTGGTAACATGTTGTATCTATACAAATAGTAAATACACAAATTTATTTTTTAAGGTTCTAAATTTCAAGGGAATTGCTGTCTGCTGTTTTGTGTTCTGTCAAACTTTGAGCCTAGCCCCTGTAATAACTGAATCTTCTCAGCTCAACTTTGAATGACCTTTTACTTGGAAAATGTTTTCAAATCCTGTTTAGTCATTGTAGCTGTTCAGTAATTAAGCTAAGCACATTGTTTTTTAAGTAAAGGTAGCTTCTTGTTGCCCAAGTGTAATAGGGAACAAACAGTCAAGAGGACAATTATAAAAATATTAGGAAACAGATGAAAAACTTAAAAAGATGGTTACTAAAAGGCAGAGATGTGGAAAAAGTGAAGGCTACATAGTGACTGGATAGTGAATTTATGGTAGAGAACTAGGAGATCCTAAAAGCAAAGAAAAAGTTGAAAATGTAAACATGTTAGAATTGACATGATGGTCATATGAACATTTGAATATTTAATAACACACAAAGATAAATGACAGGAAGTGCAGATCACAAATATGAGATGGCACAATATACAATGAGTGATGAAGTATTAAAATTATAAAGGCTGTTCTAAGGAGAGATGTAGTATTGATCCAATAATTGTGGAATCTCCTTAAATCTCCGTATAACTGGACAGAGAGGACTCAAATGCAGTCTCCTACCTTTATGTTTACATTTCTAATTATGCAGATAATACTTGCAGTAATAGTAAAAATTTTAATTGAAAAAATGGTACTTTAGCCATTCTCTACTTCTGAGAGGACTCTTGGACATCAATGTGATGAAAAGTCAACTTGCCAGGCACAGCTATCATCAAGGATGCAGGAATCTTTCTGCTAGGGCCACAGGTGGAAGGACTGGACATTTTAATGTACATCCTAACTCATAGGATGTGAAACCTTCTTGCTTATCTGCATGAACGCATACACAAACCACACAAAGAGTTTTATTTCTTGTCACAATCATATATTCAGGGCAACTTTTCCAGAACCATGCAAAAGTTACAATGAAGAGGAAAAGAAAACATATTTCTCTATAAAACCAGTTAGAGTATTTCTGTAGTAAGATATTGACATTGGTGAAATGCAATTTCTGTGTTAAAATATATTCCGACTCTGTTTCAACTTCTTTCTCCATTTGTTTGGGCGAAAGTCTATGCTTTTGATGAGTATTTTGCTTCCCATGTATGTGGTAGTTTGGCGTTTTGCAGTTGTTTTTTTAATGTGAAAATTAAATTTATTAGTAAGTTCTAGTGGTACCTAGGTTCAAAATGTACCCCATTTTGTTCCCCCAACAGTTTGTTCCTAAGTTGTTTACCACAAAGTTTTCCCGTCACTTGTCTGTCTATCCTTACCTCAACCTCCCTGTTCCTCCCCTTACCCCCTCCTATGTCCTTGTCTGTCCCAGTTGCACCGCCCCTACCCTTGTCAGTCAGTTGCTACATCCCTTTTGTTCTACAATGTTTCTGTCAGTTACCTTTACCTTAAAAGAGAATTGGCTTGTAAGGCTTCTTCCCTCCCCTGTGTAAACCCCATTGGACACATTCCGTGATATACTCCACCTCTGGGATTCCTTTATTGGTTAAGGGATATTTCCACCTTTTCTACCCTCCCCTCTTAAAAACACTGTTCAGACCCTGAGGGCTTGTCACTTGTTCCTGACCCCTTTGGGGAATAAACCTTCTTTGGAAACTGAGTCAGGTGATCCTTCCCTTTTCCTTTGCCCTGGACTCCTCGAGTCATGCCTCTGCTCTGCCACCCACGACGCAGCGATCACCACCACCCTAGGTGGTCTCGGCAAAGATCGGGGTGGCCACTCTGTGAGTGCCCTCTGGCCATCGGGCGTGTGCTGGCTGGCGAATCTCCACTCTGTGGCCACAGAGTGCAACCACGCGTGTAGGCTACACCGTGATTTGCTTTGGCAATGCTGTTAAATCCTTTATTACAATACCAGGTACTCTGCATCTTTGTATCTTAAACAGAATACATAGTGCCACCGGCTGAAATATTTGTCATATTTGTAAGGGTTAGATCTTTGAAGCCTTCCTTTGCTTTCAGTTGCAAGCTCTGAAAGCCAACTCTTGAAGTTATAAATCTGAAAAAGTTCCTGAGAAGCACGTGTGCTCATGCATCCTAAAACACTATCAAGACCTAATCTAAACCCAGGTCTCTGACTCTTGTCTTGCAATTGTTAGTATTTAATTCACAGAAAAAAAAAAAAAAAGGCAAACAAAGAGAAAAAGGCATGCAGCACCTGACTCAGATGTGCTGGAGCCTCAGCAACTTGCAGAACACTATTAAGATAGGAACACCCATCAAGGTCTGCGAGTATCTGAAGACAGGGGGTCAGCGATGGATCCCGGCTCTGCTCGGTCCTGTCCTCCAAGAAACGGGACAAGAGGTAATGGGCAAAAACAGAGGCCAGGAAGCTCCACCTGATCATGAGGAGGAACTTCACTGCGCAGGGATCGAGTACGGGAACGGCGGTGAAGTCTCGCTCACTGGGGACACTCAAGAACGATCCTGTTCCATGTGCTCTGGGATCACCCTGCTTGAACAGGGAGGTTGGACCCGATGGTCACTGAGGTCCCTTCCAGCCTGACCCATCCTATGAGTCTGACCTGTGCGCTCCACATGCGAACATCAGGATCTGAAAGAGGAGGGACTCAAGTGCTAGGGCAGGGATCCCCTGGTTTCTCAGGCATTTCGCACCCCCTCGCTCAGTACCCTGGCCGGACAGGGTGCCCTTGGGGCAGGCTCCCCGCGCCGCGGGCACTCCGCGCCAGCTCCGCGGCCCCGCCCGCACGGCGCATGCGCGGCGCCGCGCCTCGGGCGGGCGAATTCAAACGTGCCCCTCGCCCCTTCTCCTCGCCGGGGTAGCGGTACCGCTGTGACGTCATTGCACCGCGTCCTCTTTCTTCCCCGCGGTTTCCGGCGCTCGGCCGCACTCAAAGTTTTCATTTGCGTGGTTCACGGCGCCGATGCTCCCCCGTTTCCCCCAGGCGCGGGCGGGCGGGGGCTGCCTGAGCCCGCTCCCTCCTCTCCCCTCGCCGTCTCCGCAGGAGGAGCGGCGAGACGCTTTCGGCGGTGGCTTCGGGGGGCTCAGAGGCGGCGAGGCAGCGGGTCCGGAGCTGGAGGAAGAGCTGCGGGTCTGGCGGATCAGCCGAGCCGCTGCCAGGTACCTGAGCGCGGGCGGGGCCGGGCGGGCGCGTCCCGCTGGGAGCGCGGGTTCGCGTCCCGCTCCGGCCAGCAGGGAGGAGCAGCAGCGCCTCCAGGAATTAAATCGGGCTCGGGCCCCTGCTCTGCGTGAAGCCACCTGTCCTGACGCTGTTTTGTTCGCCCTTCCAGAAGCCACGGTTCGCTTGAATTGAAATAGTAAAAGTACTGCGGTAGTGCTTTGTGCAGCTTCGGGGGAAAATGATCAGGCAAGGAATTTTTAGGGAATTTTAAGTATTGAAGGAACCTTTGGAGGTAATTTCATCTCTCTCCCAACCTTGCATCAGGATTACATATACCCAAGATGTTACTGGGAGGGGAGGACTTAGTGAGTATTTATGGGTGTACTTCCCAAAGTTCCTCCTCTGCGTCTTGCCCTGTGGCTTCCCTTCATAGGAAGTTGGTCCTTCATCATTTCTCCAGTTGTCATCGCTGATAGTTAGGTGTACTTACTAAAAAATATAAAACCCATTTGTTATGTGAGGTCTTGTTCTAGAAATCAGTGAAAGTTCTCTGCCACACACATGGATTACACCAAAGGTATATGGCAGAAAGGGAAGTGACACCTTATGTTGCAGGTGCCAAAACAGTATTTTCACGTGGGATGTGGTCTGCTTAAAGCTATGAAGGTCTGGGCTGATGAAGCCATCAGAAGAAAGCATTTACCTGAAAGTTAGTAGATGTTTCCTGCCTCAAGCAGTATTGATACACATGACAATTGGTATTCGATTCCTGTTGTGGGTTAGAATCAAGACTTTGTGAGAAATCATGTTGCATAAGAGATCTGTGGGGAGAATGAGCTGTTTAGTGAAAATCCTGTTTGGAAATGCTGAACAATGCTAAATGTTTAGGGGATATCTTCAATGTCTTGTGACAGATGTTAAGGAAACTCTCTATAAAGATATAGTTTACTATTCCTAGTATGCAGACGTGCACTATCAAGACAAAATTTGGTGGATGCAGAAGGAAGCCCTGTGCTCTGCTTGTTTGCTAGTTGAACATAAATTATGTATTACTAAAACCTTGTAGCATGTAGTATTTTTGAAGAGCATTATATGTAGAAACTTTGAAGAAACAGTACAAGTCTGAATTTCTAATGGCTTTGATAACTTGATGTGTACAAAATGTAGTTAAGCATCTGATTTCCCCTTTAGATTAATTTCAATTACATTTGCATTTGTACTTGTTCCTTGATGAACACATTCCGCAGGTGTTGAAGTCAGCAAACAAAATATTTTGAAATGTATTTATTTTAAGTTTCTTGCCATGATCTTTGTCAGATCACTTATCAGATCAGATGACTTTTGTTGAGGAAAGCAGGCAAAAAATGAACAGGACTCTAGTTACAGTTTTTGAAAACATAGCCTATTCAGTGATCTCTCCAGCTCTAGGTAGAATCCAATTGATACCATCCTTTGAACGAAAGGGGATGCATGTGTTCAGGGTATATTTCAGATTATTAATAAAAAAGAAAGTGAAGCAGCAATCTCTTAAGTGGAGATTCTCTGAAAGTACTGCAGGGTAGACATCTACATGCTTTACTATTTTACTAATCTATCAATACATTTGACAGGTTTAAGCATGCGTATATTACATACAGAAGGGGGAAGCCAGATTTTAATACGTGAAAGAGGTGATGGCCTCATCAATTAGGCAGCTTTTTCACCACAGCATTTCTCTAAGGTGATTAACTTTGTAAAGAAGTTTTGTGAAGATATTCTGAATTTGAATGGGAACTAAAATGGCCTGATTTACTGAATGGACTTCAGTAAAATTCTTCAAGTGGTTTGAAAGTCAACTGATGAAATTATTTGTAGATGGTTAATCCATTTTAAGGTTACATTTGACATGAACCCTTTGTGTAAAGACAAGTAATTTGAAAGCATAAATACATATGGGTAATGTTAATGTTGTGTTTTTCTAGCATCTTTTCAGATGAAATACAAAGTTGCTGACCAGCTAATTTCTTTTGTGTAATTTCATTTCATTTGCTGTGGTTTGCTTAATTTCCTTTAGATCTAAGAACTTCTTCTGTTTCTGTGCTATCTCCTAATATTTGCAGGCCTTATTAATCAGAATTGTGAAACCATTTAGTTTGGAACTGAATTCTTGAGAGCATCTATTGCACCCCACCCAGAAGAGATTGCCTAGGACAGTGCCTAGTTAAGTTTTGCGTATTTCCGTTCTTGGAGACTACAACCCCTCAGGACAGCCTGTGGAAGTATATCACAGTAAAAGTGTTGCAGTTTCAATTAAGATTTTCTTTGTCTTCTGTTGTGTGCTTTTGGTTAGGGTTTTATAGAGTGCCTTAGCAGGCATTTTGGATAGAAAAGTTATGGAAGTGCCTTTATAAAAGATGTTAGTGAGAGCATGTTAACTGTTCATCCAGCAACTGGATAAAGTTGCCCAAGTTATTTTCCTTTTCCTTTTCCTTTTCCTTTTCCTTTTCCTTTTCCTTTTCCTTTTCCTTTTCCTTTTCCTTTTCCTTTTCCTTTTCCTTTTCCTTTTCCTTTTCCTTTTCCTTTTCCTTTTCCTTTTCCTTTTCCTTTTCCTTTTCCTTTTCCTTTTCCTTTTCCTTTTCCTTCACAGGCTCATAAACTGCATTTCCAAAAAAACCTTCCCAGCTGAAATCTAGTTTAATAGTTTAAGGGTGCATCAGAACTAAAGGATTAGTCTTAGGTATTGGTTGAGGTATTAGCCTTTTGGATATTTTTTCCCCAAAGAAAAAAAGCATTTATCAAATTTTTGTGGCTAAAGTTTTAATTGGTTCTAAACTGCACAGTTTTAGCAAACGATGTATGTATCCAAAAGTGACTTAGCATCTGAGTAAATGATGCCATGTTTCTCTTGTACACACCATCTTGGACTTTATATTCACTGTCATATAAACTGCACTTATGAAATTAAATCTTTTTGGGGAAGTGGAGCCTGTTGTAGGGGTCTGCTGGCTCAATATATGGGAGTCTCATCTACTTCTGGATATTGTTTCTTTTCTGTGGCAGAATCCTGGAGAACCTGACTCTTCCAGTTATCCAGGGCGGTGGCCTTTCTGTTCAAAACAAGGTTCTTATTCAAATTTATTCTTTTTTTTTTTTTTTTTTTTTTTTTTTATGGTAACAATTCCCACAAAGTAGAGGTGCCTACAAGAGTCATACTCTTGAATTTAATACTTCTTGCTTTTTTTGTGTTTATGTTCCTTTTTTCATCACTTTCTAAAGCTGAGGTTCTACTACTAAGTCTTGACTTCTGCAGCTAAGGTTGGGCAGTCCTTTAATAGTACCATTTCCTTTAATAGTACTCAAACAATTGTAGGATCGTCGCTAGTAATAAGCAAGATCTTGGGGCCTTAAAAGTACAATTTTCTTGAAGTCACTCTGCAAAAACTGATATGGACGTATAATTCTGTGGTGGAATTTGCAAAAATGAGAAAGCCAAATTAAGAAAATAGTCCTAAACTCCCAGATTGTCTACTGAGAAGCCTTGTATAAAGCTAAGGAGGTATATCTCTATAGTATGCTGTTTTGGGGAAATTATGATTGTGTTTGCAATAAGACATTTTGTAATTATTTTCCATTTCAGTGGCTCTTCTTACTTTATTTGAGAATTACTTGAAAAATAAAGTTCTGGTTCCTGAAAACAACTGAACAGAAAATAGAAAATGGTTTTTTTATTTTTAAATTTTTTGTTTTCTTTGGCACTTTTTTACATTTCTGTAATGGGTTCAATGCTATTGGAGGGCAGTGGAAAGACAAAAGTCAAATAGTAAGTCATGTCACATCTTGTCTCTATTACTTCTGTTAACTGCTGCATTCTATTTCAGAGTTTTATGCTACTGCCTACCACCTCAAAATATCAATATCAATATCTTCAATACTTATTATTCTCAGGAGAATGTGTTTTTCCATGGTGCTGAAAAGATCTGGTTTATGTTTTACCTTCATCTTATTTCCTTTGTGGTTGTGTATTTTTGGAGGTGGAACAGAGGGGTATACTGTTTTTGCAAAATGTGATCATTCCTGGATAGGAAATTAGTCTGGTTTGTTTGCTTCTGGTTTTTTCCTTGTGCTTGTTTTGATTTTTATTGGGTTTTTTTTTTTTTGGTAAGGGGGATAATATGTAATATCTCTGGAAGCTGATTCTGTGGGTGGAGTTTCTGAGCCAAAATTACTTTCTTAGCATTATGTGCTTTCTTTTTGCAATACAATACAATACAATACCATACATTGTGTATTTCTTAAAACCACCTGTTTTGTCTACAGAGGTTCATAGCATATTCCTTTCTGTCCTGTAGGTAAGCCTCTTGTGGTGAAAGACAGTTCATTTGGTGCAAAATAATGGGCATTGCTAAATTGATGATTGATGTCCTAGCTCTGAGGCTCTTTCTAGAATAGAGACTTTCATGCCCCTCTATTCTCTAATTGAAAAGATAGGAATAGTTCCTTCAGGTATTCTGATGGGAATACCTGTGATGGGAAACTACATCAAATCCTTGCTTTGAACCGGGCACTGATTCTGGACTGGATTTTTCAGGTTGAATAGAGTACCCTATATTGATGATAATGCAAAAAGTTGGAAGAAGCAACACAACATTATCTTCTGGTTTCACTTATGCTATTGGTGATACTCACATGACAAGTTAGATTTCTTTAGCTTAATTTTATATTTACCATCCTAGGATCATCAAAATTCCTCAGAAATGGTTTCAAATTCAAACAAGTGTCTTAACAATTTACCCATTATTAGTTTCAAAAAAAAACAAGGTATCATCAGTCTTCATTTTATGCATTGCAACTTTTTGATTTCAAAGTAATATGGCATATCTTTCTCCTAAAATGGTGCTGTATTTTCCTTACTGAGGAGTTTCTTTTCTAACTTTATGGTTCTACCAAAACTGAGCTACTCTTCATCTTTTCTTTTTCTTTTCCCTGCATAAAAATACATTTATTATTTTTAGGGAGGTCTTACTAGTGTTATCTTCTGTAGCTCGTATGCCTGTTCTGTCAGTAATAGTTCTAATGCCTAATCTTCTACTGTATTAGGTAAGTACGCCATTGTGTGGTACTCTGCACAGCCCAAAAAATACAGTCAGCCAGCTGGCAGCAGTCTGCAGACCATACTGTTTAGTCAAAGAAACCATACTATGTATGGTTTTAAATTTACAAATGCAGTTTATCCACTAAAAATAGATAGTTCACCATTAGTCAAAAAGTTAGGAACTGATCAGTAATCTCTTAAAGGTTCTGCTGCAACAAATCCACTGGCAGCATTTCAACACTTTTGTCAGAAGGCATTAAATATAAATGAGGAATAAAGAGATCTTCCAATAAGTGCTGCTGCTTTTGCTTCTCTTTTTTACCAGGGTTTGGAAAGAAATCTTGAAGAATGACTGTGTGTATCTCTAGGCATTTTTGGGTAAAAGAGGATTAAGAAAGGTGGCTGCTACTTTGTGGGAAGTGGGGTGGCGGGGATTACTGTTTCTTCTTGCCTTGTTTCATGCTGTTTTCCTGCTTGTTGAGAAAAGCTATGCATAGATCCATTTTGGTCTTCATGTCCTGTTTTATAGTGTGCTTGAAGAAAAATAACAGTTCTTTGTGGGCAGTGGAACTGTCTAGTTTTGATCACTTTCTGTGTCAGAGAGGATTATAAAACATTCTATTTGCCATCATTAGCACTGATAACAGAAAACATTTAATTAGCTCTAAAAATGGGTGCATTTATTCATTAATTCTGGACCAATTTAATATCCAGCACACCCAGTGAAAGTAATGTAGCCATGATACTATTAATTTATGCATAATTTTAACACCCTTCTCCTTTATTTACAAGTAAACATGAAAAAAACATGAACTTACACACCAAGACATTCTGTTGCTTCCTAATACGTGACTAGATACTGCAGATGCCTGCTGATGACACATATTAGAAATGTTTTTAAATCAATATCTGGGAATTAAAAGTAACACTACATTTTAAAACTTCAAAAAACAGAACACTAAAACATAGTTCTTCCATAGTGATGTATTTTTACATTGACTTTGTTCTTGTCCATCCAACTTTGTGACTAAAATTGAAATTTTTGTAAACTACCAGTATGAGGATTGGCTGTGGCAGTATTTTTTCTAGATAAATAGTTGCTATCCATACTGTTGTTTTGAAATGGAGCAAAGTGTTTAGTTCTTCGATTCATTAAATGCTAATTTCTTTTATTAGTGATTAAGTCAAGACCACATATTTATTGGTGCCAAGGGATGCCAGCTGTTTAGTGCTTTGGGTGTTTTTTTTGTTATTTTATACTTTTATATTTTGCCATAAGGAGTGTAAATCACATGAGTCTGATTGGTACAGGTGCTATTAATAAAGGCCTTACTCTTTCTGTATTATGTACAGAAGTAGTGTTGTTGAATACCTAAGTTTACTTTCTTCTACTTTGTTTTACTTCCTGCAAATTTTAGTTAAGTGTAGTGAAATTTTTTCGTATCTGGTGTTCCTTGTGAAAAAGACTGGTTTAGAATACAGAAGTAAAACTTAAAAAAAAAAAAAAAAAGACTTTAAAAGAAAAAAGTATATTTTTGTGCTTCATAAAGTTGTTCCCTATTCATAGTATGTCTGTGTGTGAATATTTCAGATTGGCCCAGCATGTCAATAGGAATTTAAAATTTGCTGTAGAGATTACAGAATTGCTCATCTAGTCCTGCCTCCCTAGGAAAAGGAATCGCCTCCCAGGAATGTCTTTCAGTAGGCCATGTTGCTTAAAACCCTACCTAACATGTCTTAGAACGCTTCATTAATGAGGGACCTGCAATCTTCTTCTGTTGCCACAACACCTTGTTCTCCACTTTCCTTATGTTCAATTGGAATCAATACTTAATCCAAATTTAAATATTTCTGAATTTAAAAGGATACCGTTTAAGATTGTTATACCTTTTCCTTTTACTTGAGACATTGGTAAAGTCTTTCTTACAAGTGCCCTTTTAAGTATTGAAAGGTGGCGATCAGGACTCTTGTATGCATTTTTCAGGCAGCACAAACCCAACTATTTAATCCTTTTTTCACAGGAAAGGTGTTGCATGCCTCTGGTCAGTTTTGTGGCCCTACTATGGACCTGTGCTGATATGGCCATGTCCTTATTGTGCTGAGGTCCACAGAACTGGACACAATACTTCAGGTAGAGTCTCACAGCAGCAGAAGAGAGGGAGAATTGTCTCTTGTGACCTGGGGTGGGCCTAGGGTTGGCTTTCTGGAGTGCAAATGCATGCTGCTGGCTCATGTTCAACATTTTGTCCAGCAGTTCATGCAAGTGCTTTTTCACAGTACTCCTCTCAATCAATTCATCCCACATTCTGTGTTGATGATGGGCTTTGCCTAACATAGGTGCAAGACCTTTCACTTCACCTTGTTTCACCTTTGAGATTTTCAAGCCTGTCGATTCCCTCTGGATGGCATCCCTTCCTACTGGTGTAGAAGCTGCAGTGCTCAGCTTAGTACTGTTTATATAATGAAGATTTAATTAGGAAGATATTAAACTGTACTGGTTTCAGTATAAACCCTGGATGAACGCCACTTACGATTGGTTTCCGTGTGGACACAGAGCTTTTAACTGTAACCCTCTGGACAAGGGACATAAACCTGTACTCATCTAATGGTACATCCACCAAACCCATTTGTTCTTCAAATAAATGGCAAGAATGTTGTAGGGGACTGTTTCAAAGGCTTTATGGAAATGGAGGTAGGTGACGTCCATAGCCCTTCATTTGTTCACTGGTGTAATCACAGGCATGGTTTGCCCTTGGGTGAGGTATGTTGCCTGTATCTAAGTATTGTCTTGTCATCCATGCTTGTCATAGTGTACTGGTTTGAAAGCAAGCCAGTGAGACATTCCAAGTCAGAACTACAGTCTAATAGGAAAATTAAAATACGGGCAATCAAAAGAGTGCCAGAGTCAGGATACAGCCTGTTGTTCAATGTGGTGATAGCAGTACAATTAAATGGTGGTGGTTAAGATGTGGTTCTGTTGAACTGGTGATCCTGTAGAAGGGTCTGGTCCTTCTCTGAAGGTCCAGTGATGGTTAGTAGCTCTTGTCCTCTGGGAATACAGTAGGTAGGGCTGCCCATGGTGTTCCTAACCTCAGATTATATCCAGGTAGGAATGCTTGGTTCATCCCCCTGGGCGGAGCATCTCACAATGGGATGATGTAATTTTATCAGTCAAGCAGTGAGGCTTGATGGTGCATTAGCAGGGAAAGCCCCTGGAGGGAGATATCAGGGATGAGTCATGGAGGAGATAAGGAACACTGCCAGACCTGTTTTAAGAGTTTATGAAGGTGATAATAAAATACTTTTGGTTACATCTTACATTGTAAGGTAAGACCCACAGCTTCCAGAAGGACCTGTTTCATTATTTTTCTGTACAATATAATAATGCTTGCAGATTGGTGGTTTCCATGATCTTTTTTACTCTTTTTTAAATTCCCTTTCTTCCAGTCACTGGGAACTTTGTCCGGCTGCCGTCAGATAGACACGAATGCAAAAAATATCTGTTATATGAACAACAAACAACAAACTACTGCTTTTGTCAATAAAGGGAGTTGCATGTGCAGAGGTTTAGGCTCTTGTAATTGTTCCAAATGCAGTAAGGTGGCCTCTAAAACACACTGTGATGTCTGTGTTTACCATGTTGTTACAGATTCAGCATGGAGGAGAATGACTGGATTTTTCTGTTTTTCCCATGTAACTATTTTGGTTTGGGAAGGAGGTATGCTGTTCTTGAAGAATGACTTCAGATAGTGTTCTTGTTCTTTGCTGTTACGGAGAGTGTGCTGTTTCAACTATATGAAGTTTAGCTCACAGCTTAAAAGGTATGCAAGTATTCTCGTATTTGTCCACAAAATTTGGAAAATACAACAATGCCATTTCAGGCATAGTTGAAATAATGGACCCAAATTGCACTTGGTTACTCATGGTAATACAGAGGGAATATACCCAAATGCATGTATATGGTTATATTGTCTGTGAAATAAAATTATTTATGCATTCCTGTATTCTTGAATGGATTAAAAATCACAAGTGCATTATGATTATATTGATCCAGAGCATTATATTTACACAAAACTAACTCTTAAGAGCTGTGCTGAAGCTTTTAAATGATCCTGTACTCTTAAGTAAGTGATAGAATTGTTACAATAACTCTGAGTTGTAGTGCTTACAGAAGGCAATTATGTGACTTGGAAAATTCATGTCCCACCCAGATCTGTGCATCTTCTGTGTAAATTACTTCTATGGCTGCAGTTAGTTTTAATTGAATTAGTTTTAAAAGTTATAGCTTGAAATGAAAGCTGGCATCTCACTTATCCTATCCTTAATGTAGAAGGGGTTTAAAAGAAAGCTTTTGATTTCTCATGTTTTCGCCTTTTTGAAAATATTTCCTACATTCATCAAGTACTTCCAGTATTGAGTACTCAGAAAAAAGCAACTGCCAGTAGAAGGCTGTTCTAGTAAATGAAGGGAAACAGTGCTTCATGTGCTCCCTGAAGAAGAAATTTCCATTTTGCTATTCAGTGAGGGTGGCATTGTGTGTGATAGGTCCATGTCTATCTAGTAAATTCTGTCTATGAGTGATTTGATGTTTGTTTTTGTTCCTACCTCTTATGATGGTACTGATCTGCCTTCAGTGATGTTAATTTTTTACTATGCCATGACCAAGAAGTAGCTTGTATTTCTTGCCAGTTGATGCCACAGTTAAGTGCATTGCTGTCTTTTTGTTATGTTGATGAACTAATCTGAGAGTATGCTGATTAAATCACACGTAAGGACAGCATCTTTAGTGTAAGTTGGGTGGTACTTTTGCTTAGAGCACTATTAGGGCATCAACATTGTAACAGCGACACTACATTATTTTTATTGTGCCTGTTTGCATTCAGTAGAGTAATGAGTAAGGATTCAGTTTCTAAGGGAGTGTGTGTTTGAGGGTGTGTGTGGATGTAAATTTACCCACAAGTGTTAAGTAAAGCAGTATACTACATTGTCCTGTTTGAATCAAACATATGTTCGTTGTGAGAACTACCAATATAACAGTATATATAACAGAGAGACAATATAACAGTAATTTCTTTGAACAGAAAGTATGCGTGAAATATACATGAAACTTTTTTTTACTATAATCTATTTACATGTTGCTTGTGTCTTGCTTATACTGCAGCATTAAGGAATTGAGGGGACAGGTGAAAATGCTCTTGTTTGTTGATGATGTCTGTTAAAAAAAAACAGTCAGTCTGGTCAAGTCACCTACAGCCCTCTTACAAATTTCTACCTGACAATTAGATGTTAACAGTGTATACTGTCTGTGAGTGACTTCTGTGAAATTGAAAATAACACAGTATTATTTTAAGAGCCTGGTATGTCTAAGGTTCTAAGTCTTCTTGTGAGTTACTGATCAGTCTTCTGGTGACTTTTTAGGTTGTTGAAAAGCACAGCACCTCACAGATAGATTTTCTAAAGAATAAGAGTATTTTTGTTGTGACTACTCAGCAGGACATGGTTGTAAAGAGAATACCTCTTATTCAGGAATGTAATATTTGACTGGAAAACATAAAGAAGCCACTGGCACAGTGGGTCAAGAGAGTCTGAACTGACAGTATGTAGCAGTGTAAGTTTAAAAATCTTGCGAGACTTCAAGAAAGAAACAAGTCTTGTCATTTGCATGTGAAGTGTATATGTCAGCTTGATAAAAGATTTCAGTTGTTTAGTTGGAAGTGTACTAATCTATCCTAGATGTTTGGGGAGCCCAGAACAATCCATAGACAAAATTTTCTTGCAGGTTTTTCAGTGCTTATACCAGCCAGCCAGGTTATTTTGTGCATTCCCCCTCATGCCTCATGTCATGTAGTGTTTTGATTTCCATACAAATTTTTCCAGCCTGACAATCATGTGTTTTGAAATAATCAATTCATAATACAGAAAATTATTGGTATGTAATTATTACAGAGTTCTAATTAAAAATTAACAGTAAACCAATAGCTCTTTCTGTCCTCCCAGCTGCTTTACTTTCCCACTTGGGGATATGGACTGATTAAAGAACTAAAATGAGAGTTTGTGTCCTGTATTTTCATAGTGATGATTGGAGAGGCGGGGGTGCGGAAGAGGCTGTTTGGATTGAGTGTGAAGAGGTTGGGGCTTATGTTTTCTTTTTCTGCTCTGAGAGTATTGTCTTTTAGATTTGAGAAGATGAATAATAATTAGTGAATAATATTTTGTAATGCTGTAAAGATTTAAGGTATGATAGGAACACTTAATAGTAATTAACATGCTTAGAAATAAATACAGTGAAACATCAAAAAAGAGTACTGATTTAAAATTGGAGGTAACAAGGATGCTTGATGTATGAATTTATGTTAAAGGGGGAAGTTTTTCAGTTTATTCTTGTTTTCAACAGAGTGCACGATATACATCTATACAAAAAACTAAACTTACTTGTAAATTTAAAACCCAAACTGTTATAAGTGTATAGTTTCTGTGACATTAAAAAAAAAAAAAGATAGTGCTTATGCTTTTGATACTTGTTTCACTACTAATTTAAAAGTTTTGCTTTAGTAAATTCAGTGTAATTACTTCAGAAAAAAGATGTCAGCTAATTCTTCTTGATAAAACTGTATAAAAATACTCAAAAGATTCAATGGTTCTATGTTTCCATTAAAGAAATAACTGCAATATTATACAGTTTTAGGTATTTCTGATATCAAATAGCCAGTGAAATAGTGATGCTTGGAATTCCCTTCCAAAAGGAAGATAAAATGATTTGAATAAGGATATTTTTCTTTCCCTGCTTGTAAGTCAGAGGCAGTCTTAGTTTTTTGATTTCTGCTCATGTTTTATAAATTCACAGCTTCACTTGGAAAGCAAATACTTGTGTTGTAGCTAGTTATGCCTTATAATGTTTGTTAGTGGCTTATCTTTTGTCAGTGTTTCTGAGCTTGCTCCTGTTAAAAATCAGTAAGAAAACATCCAGTTTATTTTGCAAAGTAAACCGTAAAGCCTAGGGTAGTCTGCATTTCTTTTTGTCTTTCAGTATGATGAACTACAATCCCTTTCACTGTACGCAGAGGGGGAAAATGTCACTTTTCAAGGAATACACAATGTGCTCTTTTCTTTTTTCAGAGTATTTTTGTTCTTGCATGCAAACTTGATTGTGGGGTGAGCCTCTTTATCTGACATTAGATACGTTCTAAGTAATGAGTAATTTTTGCCAGCTTTCAAATGACATCTGTATTCTACCTTTATATAAGATCTCAGCTGTTCAAGGTACACTCCTGCTGACCTCTTGAGCTGTTAACTTGCACTTGAGTAGGCTGAATGTTCTTTGGGTAAATGTAGCCTTGGCAGCTAAATTTTTTTTCTGTGCCAGCCTTAGATAGTGTAAGCAAGCAGTCTTTTTTCCATGGAAAATGTTTGGCTCCCAGGGTCATGCAGGGAAAAGCTTTACCAAGTCCATGAATTCTGCCAAGAGCTTAAAAAGGCTGTTTAAACTTCTTTTCATCTTAAACCTTAATAATTTCTAACTCTTACTCATTCCATTATACAAAATGCTTAATTAATCATATTACTTAGATTTAAATAAAATAGCCATTAAAATGTTCAGCATATTAAAGAGAAGAAATGCACATATGGTAACTCAACATTCTTTTACTAATTTCTTTGTAATACTTTTTTATCCTAATTAAAAATTTTATACATTTCTGTGTAAACTTTCCTTTTGTGAAATAAAGTTCTCATATTTTTAACTTTGGATGAAATTGTGGTTTTTTATTTGTTTAATTGGGTTTTTTCTTTACTAGTAACATTACTTGAAGATGCATTTGCATCCTTATTCTTTTAGGCAGGACATTGCTTAGTTTTGTGTGCATTCAGAGAAGTTAAAGTACATATTGGGTGCATAGTGAAAGGCATATATGGTTTAATTTAGCATATCTGTTGTTAGAATTGCAGCATTTCTTTATAGTTCTGTGTGTGGTCATTCATAATTTGCAGTAGTAACTTTAAATATCAGTTTATCTTCATCAGAAATAAACAGCATGTACTGAAATATTATTGTTTCACAGTTTTGGAAATTCCAGTAACTTTTCACTTACTTCCATAGGATTAGTGAAGGCTTTGGTTTGTATTTTGTGGTTGTAGTTGTTATTTGTTTATCATTTAATGGACACCTTTTAGCCTGTTCTGAGTAGCTGTTTCTTTGAAATTTGTTTAGTGGTCATTCAATATTCCTTATTGCAAAGAAGTTTTTTTATTTTACAGTAAGGATGTATTTTTTAATATTGTTTCATCTATTGTTCTTTTAGCACAGATGGAAGAGTTGCAGAACTTAGTTATGTAAGGAGTGGCAATTTTGCTGATGTGAGTACAAATTTGTGGCTGATTTTACTCTTCTTTGGACAACTTAAAATAGCCTGTTTGTGGAATAGTTACAGGTTAAATTGAACTCCTTGTTTAGTTAAAAGTGATTGTTTGTACCTGAGTGTTTGTGTTCTCATTAAGAATGTTTGTTGGAACTTCATATTTTGTATTTATATTACCAAAGGGGGATTTTGCGAAGTTTAGGTAGAAATTCAGTTGTCAGAGGCTCAGTACATGCTATATACTGAGCAAAAACTATGGGAGGGATGTGAAGACTTCCCTCTTATTGTACATATATAGATGACATATTTGTTCATTAGGAACAATTCAATACCTGTTGCTGTGGTTTTCAATTTTTTTGGCTTTTATTTTGTAATGGATGAAAGCTGTGCTCAGAAGTATTAGTCTGAAAGTTGTGTGCTATTCCATGTTCTTGGGATGCCTCAAACTGTTTCCCAGCTGGGACTTGAAATGTATATGAATCTTCATGGTAGGACAAAAAGCAGATACCCCTGCTTGTAGGGAGTCTTATTGTTTGATAGTGCTTCTTAGATTCATATGGAAGCCCAAGGGTCTCAGTTCCTCTAATATATTAAAAAATAAGCAGAAAACCCAATTACAAAACCCTCTGTGGTTTTGTATTCAGGACAGCAAAGGGGAAAGTTAAGGAAGCATGCTCATAAGCGAACCCAAGACTTTAAGTAGGCAAGCAAAATTAACTAAACATAACTCATGAAGTCCTCAATTAGCATAAGAAACTTTTGACTGTTTGCTTGACTCAAGATTTCTGAGTGTTTTCAGGTAGAATACTATGAGCACTTTGTCCTCGTAGGTCTTCTCTCTGTTGTAATGATTCTGTGGCCTTTAGACTAATTTCTTAGTAATTTATGATAATTAGTAGAAAATAGACAGTGAATTCTGTATTAAATATATAAAAATGCACAAATACTGTTATCATGTCATTTCTGCTCTCCATATTTCTGATCAGCTGATCAATTTGAATTAAAATGATTCTAAAATCGGATACAGTGGTTAATTCCTGTTGTTATGATTCAAAGATTTCCTTATACTGAAAGAGGGAGCAAGGCTGGTGAAGGGTCTAGAATGCAAGTCCTATGGGTAATGGCTGAAGGAGCTGGGCTTGTTTAGCCTGCAGGAAAGGAGACTGAGGGCTGACCTTGTCACTGTCTATGCCTGAAAGGAGGCTGTAGCCAGGTGGGGATCAGTCTCTTCTCACAGGCAGCGAGTGACAGGACAAGATGACACAGGCTTAAGTTGTGCCAGGAGAGGTGTAGGTTGGACATTAGGAAGAAATTCTTCACAGAAAGAGTGATTGGGCAGTGGAATGTGCTGCCTAAGGAGGTGGTGGAGTCACTGTCCCTGAAGGTGTTAAAGGAAAGACTGGGTGTGACATTTAGTGCCATGGACCAGCTGATGTGGTGTTTGGTCATAGGTTGGACTTGATCTCAGAGGTTGTTTCCAGCCTAATTGATTCTGTGAAAGTAGTGTCATTTAGGCTGGAAAGACTACTGATTTAATGTCTTTTGAAACAATTAAAACCAAATCACATTTTGTTTAGAGATGTTTAGTCTGGCTTTATGGCTTATTTTTTATGTGTTTGTTTTGTTTGTTTGTTTGCTTCCCCCCCCCCCCCCCAATTTAACAACATAAGCACAAGATTTTTTTAGATGTTAAATTACATCTGCCTTCTGTGTAGATCCTAATGTATTTCGGAAGCTGCAGCAGTTTGTCCAAATCTGAAAAACATTTTTATTTTTAATTCTGTTTTGCCTGAGAAGATGCAGTGGGTCATGCCTGGTTCACAGTCTACACACATTGTAACTCTTCAGGTGGCCTGGCAAGGCATTTTTGGGAGATGGTGTCTTTTGTTCTGAGGACATGAAACAAGTGCACTCTTTTTAATAGTCTTTCCCACTGATACATAGAAGTTCAGTATGCTAAATATGTAAGGTGATAGCATGAATTTTTTTTTTTTTACTTAGTAACCCAATTAATGTGGTGCTTAGTGTTTATATTTTAGCCTTATTCTGATCTGAAAGTTAACATATTTTTAGCACTTGTACTGAGCAAAGATTTGGATACTTGTGCAAAGTCATTTGAGTTACTAATTATCTGGTGTGCAGTTCAGGTTTTGTGTTACCTTTCTTTAAAAATGAATGTGGTGAACCATAATCCAGTTAGTTACTGTTTGCATGTACACTAGTAACCTAATTTGATTAGAGGAGGACTGTGGATTTTTCAAGTGTTTTAGTAACATCTTGTTCCTCTTTTTGCACAAAGTTTTTTGGTAATTGTTTGTTTGGAAATTTGAGAAACACAGTCAGCATTTTAAAAGCTGTGCACAACCCATGAAAGACTGTTGAAATTTTTCTGCTTTTAAGAAATATGAATTCTTTATGGTATAGTGCATTTTTCGCAAGCTGATGATGGTCGTTAATTACAAGATCCTTTTGGCAATTTGGTTTTTAACATTTAAATTTGACATTAGAAAGAATTTCTCGTCAGGCACTGGAATAGGCTACTTAGAGAAGTGGGGGTGTTTAATCCCTGGCAGTATTTAAAAGCCATGTATATGTGGCATGTACGGATTAGTGGTGGATGTAGCAATGTTAAGTTACTGGTTGGATGCCTTGATCATAAATGTCTTTTCCAGTCTAAATGATTCTCAATTTCCAAAACACTAGTAGTCATAGCTGCACTCTAATTATTTTTGCCTGTTGAATAGGCCTAGCTGCCCATATACTATGGATTTAGCTTATTAGTTCCTAATTTTATGTTAGATTGTTTCAGTAGGTCTCATCCTAGTCTGGACTATGGTTTATGTACACATATTGTCTTACCAGTCTTCATCTTTAGCTGGATTTTATTTTTCTCCCCTAACATTTTTTTATATAATCAACACATGGGTTTAGATTGTAAAATAACTAATATTGGTTCTTCCAGTAATAAAATCTTGTTGAAATAAGACGACACCAGCGAAAAATAACAATGAATGTGTAGTCGAAAATACAAATGTGGGAAAGCTTTTACCTGACATCTAGTTTTCACGAACTTTATTTGTAAAGAACATTGTTTTCTTGCTCACTTGAGTTTTCTTTCAGAAACTTCTGTATAGTGCAGGTTAGAAGCCTGAGTGTGTGGTAGATAGGGACAGGCGAACGGAAGATCTCGGGATGTGACGGAAAGAGAGACCCTTCCCCCTTCTCCCTGCTTCACGTTATCTATTAACCCCAGAACATGTAACCACACCTAACCCAGGAGTTTTCCACTCCCGACTAACCCTTGAGACCCTACCAACCCCCCCTGACGTAGCAAAGTCCCCCAAGACTATTTAAACCCATGAGATAAGATAATAAAGGCTTTCGACCGTCCACCACATTGGTGTCTGCGTCTTTGTCGTTAGCCCGAGTGGCCCGGACAGGCCGGGCTGCCGTGCTGCCTCTTAGAACCAGGTCGCTGTTGTCTTTTATAAAGGCAACAGAGTGTTAGAAGATTGTTTTACTTTATATTTTGAAATAAAGAGCTGCATGTGGTAAAACTTAATGTTGAAGCAGGTATTCTAGGCTTAGTATTCTAATAGAAATTGTGTCAGTAACAGAAATAGATATAGCAAAAGGCAGCCTTGTTAGAATAATGTAATTTCTGCTGCCATACATTACTTTGCATATTATTTTAATGTTGACTCTAGGTGTTTATTTTACTTCAGTATTTTGTAATGTTAAAACTTTGTTTATTCAAGAGAACCATTGGCTGTATTTTCATGGAACAGTGAATAACTTGCAGGGAACTCTCACTAGATTAGGGCTTTCTTGGTAATTGTGTTTTGAATGTGCTCAGTATAACTTTACTCTTTTTTTGCCTGTAAAAGGCATTATACATGTAATGTATTTTTTCTTCTTCTTTTTTTTTTTTTTTCCTCCTATTTCTAAGGCTGATAAAGAATTTGTGTGGTCTCTTTGGAAAAATCTCCAGGTGTCAAAATCAGATCTTACTCAAACTGTCAGCTTGGTTGTGGAAAGGTGAGTTTGAAGATTTAACATGCCACTAAAACCAAAAAGCAACCAAACTGCCCTGCTGATACCATATTCTTTATCTTTCTAATTGAAAACTATGTAGAGTTCGAAAAATGTATTGAAAAAATGTAACTGTTAAATTTTGTCAAGAATGCCCAGAATACATTGCAAATTTTCTCTTTTTGTAGTGCAAGTTGAAGCATACTTTAAAATGTGTTCTCACTGAAATTGCTGTCCTGCAGTTGAATACCATTTTGAAATTATAAATGTCTTGCCATATTTTGCTTTCCTTTTGAAGGAGCAGGAGGAGGAAAATGACTGGTATTTTTCCAGTGTCATAAGCTGTTAGGTAACAGTTATATATAAGTTATGTTTATCTGAATTTTTGAGGAAGTGAAAACCTAAGACTTGATAATAGAAGATGTAACTATTATAGGATTATAGAACATGCTGCTTTGGAAAAGGTTGGAATCACTGAGTCCTACTCCTTGCTCTGCACAGGACACACCAAGAATCACACCATGTGCCTGAGAGCATTGTCAAATACTTCTTGGACTCTCTTAGGCTGGTGCTGTGACCACTTGCCTGGGAAACCTGTTCCAGTGCCCAACTACGCTCTGCGGGAAGAAGTTGTCTCTGACTGTAAGAGCTTCTATCTCCATTAACCCAGGCAAGTGGGATCTTACTTCTGCAGTTTATTCTTCTGAGGATAGTAATGGTGATGATTTCTTCATGGTACTTATTATTATCTGATTCCTATAAGTATTAGTTGATTATCGCAGGATGCAGTTGATTGTTTTGGAATGCTAATATTTATGAATTCAGATATTTTTGTAGGTGAAAGATAAGGAGAATGTGATGAGTTGGCTGTCAGAATTGAAACAATTATCTTAAAGTATCATGAGTTCCTTAAAATAAAAAAGGGGATTTTTTAAAAAAGAGAAAAAGAATGGATTTAAACTTTTTTAAATGGCTTGCCAATTTTACTTGGGAATCTTGTTACAGATTCATAAGAGGTCCTGTCTCCTTTGGGTTTCCATTGGGTGCTTTGATCTTAGAAGGCATGTTTTGTTGTTCACCTCTTTCCTTCCTGGAGTTCTTCTGTACACGTTCTTTTCATTTGTGAAAATACAGTGTTAACTTCTTTAGCTGGGAGCGCATTTCACAGAATCATGATATTGTTAGGGTTAGGAGGGACCTTGGGAGATCATCTAGTGCAGCCTCTCTGCCAAGGCAGAGTCACCTAGAGCAGGTTATACAGGTATGTGTCCAGGTGGCTTTTGAGTGTCTCCAGAGAGGGAGACCTTACAAACTGCCTAGGCAATCTGTTCCAGTGCCCTGCCACCCTCAGCGTAAAAAAGTTCTGCCTGATGTTGAGGCACCCTCCTGACACCCACGTTTGAGATATTTATATGTATTGATGAGATCCCCTCTCTCTCACCATTTTTATAATGTTGTCCTCTGTTCTACCTTGCATAAAGCAATGAAGATTTTTGTCCAAAAAATACAGTGTGATCATGAAACTAGAGGTAATACTCTAAACAATTCATATGCAGAGGAAGACAGTGATGTAGTCCAGTTAATGAGTAAGATGCTGTAAGGACATGCAGCTTATTTTAAAGACAGCTGTTTTTGGGGGCTCATATGTGGTCGCCAGTGATGATATCAAGTAACTGCTGGTTTTGTACTGGGACACTTAATTGCACAGAGTAATAGCTTGGCTGTTTAGACAGTATACTGTTCTTACTGTTATTTTCAAGTTTGATTTTAGAAATAATTCTAATATATGATGAAGACTGATAAACAAATTCATAGTATCCTTCATTTATGTTGAAATGCAAAATCATAATGATTTGTTTCCTAATAAAATCTGATCATTTTTTCATGTGAACATTGGTAGTAGAATTCATCTTCCTTCATAAAACATAAAAAAAAGAGAGAACTGCTTAAAACATATAGATACAGTAATTAATATATATAAACATATATTACGTATATATAAGTGCAATTATATTGAAAAATTTAAATTTTTTTTTGTCCTAACCACATTTTATAGATAGCTGAACAATATGGAAAATTATAGTTCTTCTATCTGAAGCTTACGAAGGCAGAAGCAGGTGTTCAGGCTTATTAACATTTTTTATTTATGTTGCATATAAAAATAATCAGGATGTTAGGATGAATTCAAGCAGAGAGATGTTAGAAAGCTTACATTTAAATAATGGTCAACAAATGAATTATTTTATGCTTTATTTAGAACAGAAATTGGTAATTTTATTTATTATCCTTATTGATACTACGAATATGGCACTATACCACCTTGATGCACAAAAGCAGAATAATAAGCTGAAAGTTTTTGTATGTGTTTTGCACTGTACAGATGCTGGTGATTGCTATGTGAAACCCTGCCAACATACTTCTTTTAATGTGCTTGTCTAATTTTTTTAGGTTTTCTACTCTTTAGAGTTACATTAATGCTATAGAACCTTTTTGAACTCAAAGCTATACATGTATATCACAGCTTTTCCATGCTTCTCTGAATTATGGAATTAAGAAAGAAGAAATTGCTTCAACAGCATCTTTTTAGGTGTTATCATTACTCCTGAGAATCCTGGAATACGTGTGGACCCATTCAGTATATAGGAATTTATTAATCACAACTTTGAACTTTGGGGTTGCTTTGATTTGACAGATGGAGCAATAGTGTGTATTTTTCTCTTTAGTTGATGTAGCTTCATCTCTTTTGCCTGAGAATGGTCTTATTGCCACTTTGGAAATAGTTTCTAGCCCAGCTTTACCCGTGAACCTTCTGCACAACCAAATTACAGCCCCATAAATTCTATCCTAACTTTTCCTGTTACTACTCTCCATAATGATTTCCTCAGTAGCTTCAGTTTCATGACTGTACCTGTTCCAACTCTCACCCTTTCAGAAAAGTTTTTGTCTTATTCCCTACCTTAAAGGAGTAGATAGTATGTCCCTACCTTAAAGGAGTAGATAATATGTCCCTACCTTAAAGGAGTAGATATGTTTTTTTTTAATGCTAACGTCAGTTTATCTTAGTTCCAATGCATTGATTGCCTTTAAAGGAAATGTGCTATCTACCACCGCTGTTGTCCAGAAAATTACAGGACAATAGATTTTCTGACTTCGTTAATCTGAGAAAAATACATGGGTTTAAAGAGTATAAAAAATGGGACGATCAAATAACTGTTATAAGCAAGATGGTTTGTGTCACTTGGGAGGATCTGTGCTGCTTGTAGTCCTTTTTGCTATATTATACAGAGTTTCAGATGAGCTGGAAATTGAAAATTTACACTAAAATCTGAAAGCTATTTTAAGTCTTACAGATTTTTTTTTTGTTTCATCTATATTAGAAACAACAGAGATCCAGTCATATTCAAGTTCAGAAATTTTTCTCTTACTCAGGCTTATTGTGAGATTCTGAGATAGAAACAAACAGAATGGAATGGATTTAAACATTTTTTGTTTTTTCTTGTGACATGGATAACCACCCGTGTTTGCATAGCTTCATTTTTCAGTGTGCTCTTTCCACTAAAAATTCCATGAGAACCTTCCATTCCCCACCAAATCTTTGAGACTGCCTGAGGTCATATAAGCCAGATAAGTAATGGAAGCAGACAGAATCTAAGAAAGCACAGGCATGTGTACTCTCCTAGATCAAATATATTTATATAAAGAATCAAAAAATATTGTCTAGTATATTTCAGTCATTAAACTGATGAAAGAGACAGCTAGGTTTTCTTCACAAAATTACAGTGGCAAGAATAAAAAGATGCAGGACAAAATGTTCAGTTAGAACATTACAACTTACACTGCAGATGTGTGATGAAGAAAAGAAGATACTTAGGAGGAATTGCGTGGGCAATACTAGCTTTACAGTAAGGTAATTTGTATTTATAGCATTAGAAAACTCTGTATAATATCTTTGTCCAAACAAACCAGGAAAATATAAAATATATAATTTGAGGAGCATAGGGGGAAATTACTAGTACCTTGCTGTTATTTGTCTGTTATTTTCAAATGCTTTCTTGGCCCCAAAATAGAGGTTCTCCTGCCCTAAAATTGTAAAAATTCAGTTTCTACTTTTTTATGGCTATGCTGCTAATTTCTGTAATACACCAATGATATGATACTTTTCAGCAGTCTTTGCAGTTCTTGCTGGATAACTGTAACTATATTCCCAATTTAATATTCAGATATAAACAAAAAATTATCTTTACTGTGCAAATGAGAAATGCCTTTGGGATATGTAAAAGCCTCCAGGTATTTTAAACAAGCCATTGTAAAACTACTACTACTCATGTTAGTATACTTTCTAGCTACTTTAAATACTATTGATCTCAGTATTATGTAACAAGTATGCTATTTCTAGTTTGCTGCCTTTTGAAAGATTTTTTTTTTATTATTTAAAAAAAAGTTGCTAGAAAATAGCTCTTATTAAGTAAATGTGTGTGTAAACTGAAATGGAGTTGGGTTCAGACGGGAGTATGAAATATTTTGAAATATTTTTGCAAACTTCAGAGCTCTGCTTTAAGACTCTTCCTTCTGTAGTATATGCAAGCTTGACAAGCTCAACAGACTAATTTTCCTCTAGGGCTTCTAGCTGACTCTTTTCTATTCTTCTGGAAAGTGGATGTAGCAGGATCCAAATGATCAAACTGTGCCAATGATACAAGACTTGGTATATGTACATGAGGATTGTATTATGTGAGATGGTATACTTACCTTTGGCAAGCCTGCTTTATGCAGAGGGTTTTCCACATCTAGATTTCAAGTGTGTTGTGTATTGCAGGTCTTAACAAAGGCAAAAAATAGATTTATCATTTCAGGCCACTCTTAAGAAATAGTGGCAGCCTGAGTGTTAGTGCCAGTGATTGAGAGTTTTGTTGTTGTTCTTCCTGAGGAGTTACATCTGTCTAAAGGTGAACAGATGGACAAAAATATGGCTGAAAAGCAAGAGATCAAAAATAACCAAAGAATTT